AGTTTTGTTGTGGTAAAAAGAAAGGAGGAAAAAATAAAGTATTTTCACCCCTTTCTCTCAATTGTTCTTGGTAGAAATAAAAAATGTTAGTCTTTAAAATGTGGTACAAGTTATGGTAAGTTTACAAGTGAAGTTTCCTTGTTACTGAAATCTGTAAAATTATAAAACTTGATAAGGTAAGAGTTAATAGTCTTAATTCTTTGAAAACATAAAAAAAGGAGAACTTTATTTTATGCATTTTACGCAACTATTTTGCTTATTATACATAAGTGAGAAGAAACTGTAATTGGCTCAAGGAACACTGCTGCCTGGTCAGTGAAAATACAGGAATCAGACTTGACATATGTGTTAGTAAGAATGCTATGAGATTGCTATGGAATCAAACTTGACCTATCTGTTACTAGGAAGGCTATGAGAATACATAAAAGATTGATGCACAATTCAAACTTCTTAGTACCCAGCCAGGCTGCCGCACGAGGCTGCCGCACAGGGACAGGAGAGTCAGAGTTCAGACGGAGTTCTGAGCCCACTCTGTGCTCGCGTCCCAGGGCAACACTGTATCTTCTTCCCCTAAATCTGCCACATGAAGGTGCAGGCTACTGCCCATTCAGGTTTGAAGCTTACTAGAAATTGAAGAAAGTTTTCCCAGGAGCAAGATTTCCCAACTTAAGAAAGCTGCTCTAAAATCATTCACCAGTCCAATGGTAGGTCACTTTGAGAATTTACAGGGTTTTATATGCAAATTATTCCCTTACTTAAATACTCCCAGTAAGTAAATACATGTGACTTACTTTAAATGGCTTTATTTTACTAAACTGATACCTCCTTTTGCATGTTCAACTATTCCTGTTGATTTTACTTAATTGGTTTCCTATTCAACAACAAAAGCTCTCCCATTTTAATAAAAATGTCAAAGTGTAAGTACAAACAACATTAATATCTGTCATAAATAGACAGACACTAATCTAAAGTTCCAGGCTGGACTGGCTAACTGTGTGAGGTGTCAGTCACTGCTACTCACTCTAGAGTTTAAGTTAATTGCTATTATTCAAATGCAGTTTTTATGAAATCACAGATTCAGTTCGTGATCCTTCCACTAGGTAATGCGTTTAAGTCTATACTTTCATCAGAAGTATAGACTTACATGCAATGTAAACAGGAATAAAGAAATTACATTTGTTTATTTAGGAGAACTATTTTAATGTATTTTTATAATACGATCACATAGTGAGTGGAGCTCAGAACTACTGAATACAGTGTTTTATGTCCTAGTTACAAATTCTTCTTTCTTTAGGTTCATTTATTCATGACATTCTAGCAGGTTCAGTCCTTTCCTGCTGTAGTCCCAAGTAAGCTTTGCACTTCTTCGCTAAGAATGGGGATTTGAAACCATGCTCATACTCAAGATAATTCTTGGACCTCAGTATCTCTTTGGAACTGGATTGGAAACTGGTGTTAGAACTTAAATTATGATTGTCTGTTGCTATTTGTCCTCACAGAGAGCAGCCACTCTTCACTAACAGTGGTTAAGGCCAGAAGCGTGGCCCAGTCACAGTAAGAAACGGATGCTGGTATGTAGGAAATAACTTGGCTAGTCTCATCCCAAATGTACCAAAAGGTACTCATATGTTATTTCTTTTTAAAAAGTCTGATAGTTTGAGTTTTTCAATATTTCAGAGAAGCGTTTCCAGGGAGAGTGGCCGTATTTCAGCCAGTTGAATAGGGGAAGAATATTTGGGATTATAAACTGGAATGGCCTCCCTGGGTAGCAGAATGACATGTATCAAACTCGAACACATCTAAATTTTTTTCTACCTCCCCTCTTTTCTAAGTCAGATAAAGGCATTAACATTTTCCAGAGGCCCAAAGGAAGAGCCTCAGATTCATTCTTGATTCCTCCAGCTCTTTTTCTTCCACCCCTAATTTGGTTAGTCCACTGAGGCCGATCAAGTGTAACTATGAATTGCTTCTTCCTTTCCAATCCCACTGCCACTGCTGTGAACATGTGCACACACTCTCTTCCTTGGGCTGCTGTAATAGCCAACCAACCGATACCCCTGCATCCAGTCTCTGAAATGGATGCTGCCGCCTTTGCTTATCTTTTAAGTGTCCGTGATTTTGGAGTTCTCTTGTTTATCCTCTTATTCTCTTATTCTGTCACTTTCTCCCTGGACAATTAATCTACCTCTGTGGATTCCAGTGCCCTTAATATGATGACAATCCTGCCATTTTTATCTCTAACCCTAGATCATTGTTTTAGGCTTTAAACCTGTAAGTTCATTGCCTAATGGGTATCCCCTGGAGGTCCCACAGGTACCTCATCTTTCCCACCTCAATCCTACTACTCATCCGTGGTCCTTATCTCAGAAAATGAAACTTCCATCTGTCCAGGTGAGAGCCAGAAACCAGGATATTATTTCTGAATTCTTTTACTCATATTCCCACACTTATTTGTCACTCAAATCTGTTCCTCTTTCTCTGCACCCACGGTCACTGCCTTACTTCAGGCCATCATTAAATGTCCTCTGATCGCTGCAACAGCCTCCTAAACATGCTCCGTACCTTCAGACTTGTGCCTCTGCAATCCTGGCTGCACACTGCAACTGCACTGATTATTCTTAAAAGGCAAATATGAACATGCCTCTCTCATGCTTAAAAACCCTTCCACAGCTTACTACTGCCCTTTAGATCAAGGTAGAAATGCTTAATTAATGTATAAGGCTCCTCCAAGTTCTGGATACTCATCACTAGCCACTGCCCCTTTAATTAATTAAGGTACAGTTTTACACTTGGTCTCTCTGCTTTCCATTCTGGGTCTTTGAAATCTTTTTCCCTTTTTGAAATATTCTTATCCTCTCTCCCTGCCTTCTTTGCCAAACTCATCTTTAGATGCCAATGTAGACTTCATTTATTATTCCCCCGAAATGCCCCTCCCAAGATTGGGTTTGTAGCCTTCTGATTTGCTCTAACAGCACACTACTCATTTAATATAGCCATTTTTGTTTGTACTTGAATTGCCTTTTCTCTCTCTTGTTACCATACCACGAGTTTCTTGATGGAAGGGACTTTATGTTAAATTGTGTCACAGGTGCCTAACAAAGCCTGAATCCACTCTGTAGTTTGAATTCAGGTCACTGCCCTTCTTAACGATCTCTGACAGCTCTTACATGCCTACCGAAAAAAGACTCAAATTCCTAATATGGCGGATAAGGCCCTTCTCAATATGCTAGATGACATCTTCGCAACTTCATGTCCAGGAACTCTTGTCTACTCTTCCTGTACTTTCTGAATGCATTACTCTGAATACCACTGCACAGGGTCATTCTGATGCCTTCACACTTTCACTTCTGTGGTTCCCTCTTTCTGGAATAGCATCCCTTTGCTGGTTTCCCCGAAGAGCTTTTTCCAAAGCACTCTGAGCTCCAATTCAGGCAGACTCAATAGCTCTCTTCTAGGTCATTATAGAACTTTACATTTTACTCTGTTCAAGCACTTATCTTGTTGTATCATAGATACTTATTTTTAGTATCTCACTGGCTAGACAATGAACTTCAGGAAGATACACAAAACATACATTCATTTTTAGATGTCTGCAACAGTTCCTGGCATCTAGTAGTACTGAACTATTTATCATATTGAAATAACTCAAACAAATTTAACTCTGTTTCAACTACTATTTTCAAGATTAAGGCAGAAGGCAGATAAAGGAAGAAGGGTTCATTATACAAAATATAAAACTGAAAATGTGTCGGTTTATATACTGCATAACCCTGGAATCTAGCTTCCTACTCAAACTATCCCCTTTATTAAAAAAGTGCCGTATAGAGAGTTTGCTTCTACTAACTCTTACAAGTAAACGCTTCTGATTTACTTACTAATTCCAATGTATCTTTGGATAGAGAAGTAAAAGAATGAGGAAAAAATACAATGAGCTAGACATGTTTTATGAGTAATGATTAATCATGAGCTTTAAAAGTTAAATGTAATGACACGAGACCAGAAAAGCCTGGATGTGGATCCCAGCCCTGATCCTTTCTGACTTTGTCCGAACCACTCATCTATCGGGCTTTGGCTTTCCCAACTGTGCGATGGAAATGATAATAATGCACACTTTGCACCCAGGGTTATTGTAAGAATTAAGGGTTTATATATGTAAAACATTTAGAACAAAGCATGGCATAGAGTAAGCAGTTATTGTGTCAGTTATTATTATTATAACATATTAGAGTAATTCCTGTAATACCTTCCAACTCCAGTTTTTAACTCCCTAAATTCTTCCTAGCTTTTTCAAAGGGTGTTACAAAATTAACTATGCAGTTTTAAAAAACCCTTTAGAATCTGTAGGTTTGGGTTAGAAAACTGTCAGCATTAGGATGCCATAAAATTAAAAAGGGGTGTGCTATAATTCTAAAATCACTACTATCATTGCTAAAATAGATGGTCTTGCTGAATTTTTTAAATACTAACATACATATATTAAAATCTGATTTTAAAATGTGATATAATTATATTAATGAAATTCCACCTTAAAAGCCACAAAGATAATTCTCAAATATTTTGATATAGCCTATAATCTTGATAAATAAATAGGTTATGATTTTGCCATATTTTAAAAGTACAGCCAAATCTTGATTACTATTAGTCTCTGGAGATATGGACAGCTTAGATATTTAAAATATATATACCATTTCAGAACTTCATCATTAGCCTTTTCTCCCACCAAATCTGTACCATAATTAACTTAATGGGCTAATTTTCATTCCAACTCTTTTCTTTCTTCTTGAGCAATAAAATTGCAAACTTAAAAAATTGATAACAATACAGGAAGGAAGGGCTAATCTATACACTAAATAACCAGTCTTTGAATAATCAAGAGTTGGCTGCACAGCATTATGTTTACCTTACAAATAAAAATAGCCTCATTCTCCTTCATATCTTTCAATGAAATCAAACAGGAGTTTCTAGGCCTTCACATTCCTAGTTGGAGTTTCTCTGAGTACCTGAAAGAACCCTGGTGGTACAGGACCTACTGGCATGCCATCTCCTGGGGGAATGTTTCCTAGCACTGGACTGGGAGCTGCTGCAGCACTCTGCAAAGAATAAAGGAGAAACAAACCTATATCATTACAGAGCAGGCACAAAACCAAAGACTAGTGATAATGGCAGGAGGGGAAGCTTTTCATTCCTGGGAACGAATATTGGCAATTTCCCCCACTACAGAGGTAAATTAAGATACGACAGTTAGTTGAGTATGAGTAAGTTATTTGGTTTAAACAGGTCTCTTTACACTTTTTGAAGTCACAAAACTTTAATAAGATGTTATATTTCAATGATATATAAAAAGTGAATAATATGACAAAATGATAAAAGTTTAAGCAGATCCTTTAAGGCACGGGCATCTTTTAAATGGCAATATCAATAGCAGCAGGTATATATGTAAGTAGTAAGTTTGACCCTGGGAGAGAGAGGAGTTGGAAACAAGGACTCTCTTTTAGGTCATACTTTTCTACGTGTCATAACAAGTACAGTTAAGTTTCTGCTTACAGGTGGCAACACATATTACTTATTCCCTTTCTGACAGACTACAATGGGTAGCCAAAATACAACTGACACCAAAAATAAGATGGTGAATATAAAAAAGTATTTAGGAGATTGAACAAGAGAAAGGAATTAGATTTGGAGAGATGACTTTCATATAAACATTACAAAAAAATCAGATTGAAAAATTCAAAGCCTACTTCACTCACAATTTCATGCGATCCTGGGGCTTGGTTAGATAGGAGTGAGAAAAACTTCGGGTTTAGACCCTTTTAATCAAATCAAAGCTTTAGACTGAATCCTCACACAGAACAGTAATGCATACAACTGTTCTACAAGCATGGGTTTCATCTCTCAACCTGGCCACACATATTACAAACGCCAAGAGCTGTTGATAAGGACCCAGAAATATGCTAAAGACTGATGAGTACAGACCCAACAGCTCTGCTCTGAAGGGAACTCAAAACAAATCCTGGGTCTACTGTATCTGTTTAATTACAGTAAGAACCACTACCAAGCATTAGTTGCACTGGATTTGTGTGAATTTCCATTAGAATACCATGGAAAATCCTTTAGTATGCAATACACCCCTAATTATTTAGTGTTGATTTTTTACCTTTCTTGTAAAAAAAAAAGAAAAACCTACAAATGATGTGGCTTTAAAGAATTTCTTCTAAGTAAATGGAATACATAAAACTTCAGGGCAAATGTAAAAATATTATCATTGAAAGTGTTTGTCTCTTTAGTGACTTAATTTCTATGCTTTAAATATATACTTTCAGATATGTATTTTCAAGCTGCTCTTAAATAACTTATTTTATCATGTGACTTAAATTTCACAGATTTTTTGAGAGTGACACCTTTACTTTTAAGTTTTTATATCATCCCAAATCACTAATATAATTTTACCTATTTTTTATATATCCCAATATATTAAATTTGGTGTTTTCCTCCGCCCACAGGTTTCTCTCCCTTGTGCACAAGGAACTGGAATCTGCTCCATCCTACTCTGTCGCCATCTTGCCTCCACCCTAAATTTGGTGTTTTCAAATAAACTTAATTAGGAAACAGTTATTTGCTTCCCCACGGATATTTAAAGTGAACTTTAAAGAGTCACCATAAAATCTTTCTTCACGTTGCTGTGTATTTATCTGTTAGTCTGTGTGGTCATTTCCTCTTCTGCCCTTTCTGTGATTACATCATTCTATCCTCTAAGATGGCATATGTCAACCTCTGCTCCTTCCTCTTTTTATGTTATTTATTTTTCCCTTGCATGTATGCCTGGGACCATTTTTCACTTCCTTCTTTCCCTTAAATATTATTATATAATTAAATTTTAAAATATTCTTATGTTCTAACTGCTTATTTCTGAGTTTAAGGACACAGAAGTATCCTGTGTGTATTTTCTCTCCTTAAATAAAAATCTGAAATAAAAGCTAAAAGAGTTCTTACTTTAGCCTAAGTTGTCAATGGTGGCCTCCAGTAGGAAAAAAAAAGTTCTATATACTTCTGTATGGAGGCTTCAAAACCACAGGCACACACCAAAATTTTGCTTATAATAAAATTAGGATGCAATTGCTTGCTAAACAAAATTAGCATTTATCAAGATACTATATGTTAAATAACTAATAGTTTTATTTACTAAGGATGTTAGAGAACCAGTTGCCTAATTATATATTGGGGAATTAAGATAGTCTATATTGGGTGGAATAGGAAAACATTTTAAGTATATACAATTGTCAGGGTAATAATAAAGAAACTAATATAGTGATACAATTATTAGAAACTGAAAGAGGATGAAAGGGATGATGAGTGAGAAGAGATGGCAAGAAATACTGATTTTTATTATGAAGTCATTTGTACTTTCTTAAAGCCATTTGGAGGTACTTTTTTGAGAAACATTTCAAATGATAATAGGACTTCTCAATCCCTTCACCTTTTTCACCCAGTCCCCCAAACCTCCTCCCCTATAGCAACCATCAGTCTGTTCTCTGTATCTATGCGTCTGTTCCTGTTTTGGGTATTCATCTATATTGTTGTTTAGATTCTACTTGTAAGTGATGTCATAAAGCATTTGTCTTTCTCTGGCTGACTTGTTTCACTTAGCCTAATACCATCTAGGTCCATCCATGCTGTCACAAATGGGAAGATTTGCTTCTTTTTTTTTTATGGACCAGTAATATTCCATTGCATATTTGTACCACAGCTTTTTTATCCATTCATCTATTGACGGGCATTTGGGTTGCTTCCATATCTTGGCTATGGTAAATAGTTCTACAGTAATACAGGGATAAATATATTCTTTCAAATTAGTATTTTGGATTTTTCAGATTTACAAGGAGGGACTCCAAAAACTTAGAATTAACTTACAAAAAATCGTGTATTTATTCTTACATGTTTAAACTTTAGTCACCTTCAAAGTACTCTCCGTTTGATGCAATATACCTATCAAGACGTCTTTTTCCTCTGCTTAAAACAGTTTTTGAACTTGTTGACTTTGATGCCTTTTAGTGCTTGTGTTGTTTTTGTTTCACCTTGTCCACACAGGCAAAATGTTTCCCTTTAAGGACATTTTTTTTACCCAGGGAAACAAAAAAAGTCACTTGGGGTGAGATCGAGTGCATAGGGAGGGTGGGGTATGAAGGCTATGCTGTTTTAGTCACAAACTGCTGAACACTCAGCATGGTATGTAAATCACCCATCACAAAATGGGCAAAGGTGTTGAGACTTGAAAATACATTCACTGAAGCCCAGTGCAGCCTCTCACAACATCACCAGCTGGTGCACTGAGACAGATGGGTTCCTAGAACACTAACCTAGTGGGGAAATACTGTACTACAAGGGACCCACCCTCCCTAAGGTAATTCTGTGTTAGAGGGGTCACCCCTTTTATACCCAGAAGCGGAATCACTGGGTTACAAGGGTTAGTGATTGGTAGCTAGAAATGAGTGATAGGAATGTAAAGTACAGCATAGAAAATATAGTTAATAATGTAATAACTATGTATGGTGCCAGTTGATTACTGAAAACCTTAGGGGGAGCATCTTGTAATGTTTATTATTGTCTAACCACTGTGCTGTAAACTTGAAATTAATACAAAATAATACTAAATGTAAACTGTAATAAAATTTTTAATGAAATAAAAAATAAAATGATGATTGTAGGTATCTTCACAATTTTAATGCAAAGCACGATTAGAATGGAAGGGCAGATAACATGCTTCTCAGATAAGATCAAATTCAAGGAGTTCATCATCACCAAGCCCTTATTATATGAAATGTTAAAGGGACTTATCTAAGAAAATAAAAGAAGATAAAAAAGATGAACAGTGAAAGGACAGCAAACTCACAGTTATTAAGAACCACACCTAAAACAAAGGCAAACTAAGAGGACAGCTAGATCAGGAGCGAACCATAGAAATGAAGATCACATGGAGGGTTAGCTACAGGGGAGTGGGAGAAGGAGAAGGGGGGAGAAGGTACAGAAAATAAGTAGCATAGACGGTAGGCAGAAAATAGATAGGGGGGAGGGCAAGAATAGTAGTGGAAATATAGAATCTAAAGAACTTGAGACACGTGGTCATAAACTAAAGGGGGGAATGGTGGGGGAGGGCGTGTGCAAAGTGGAGGGGAATGAAGGGGGGAATAGAACAACCGTAATGGCATAATCAGTAAAATATATTTTTAAAAAACTTAAAAACAAAACAAAACAAAAAAATAAATATTTTAGCTGTTGGTTGAAGACATATTCTTAATCATACTAAGAAGTTTTTTTGTGCCTAGTATTCTAAAAACAATTTTCAAAGAATCAAGAATGTTTTTGACTTTTCATATTTGATTGGTGTTGTTTGGTTTTTCTTTTGGAAGCATGATATAAGTAATCATATACTGATAGTTTTCTTAAACTTAAACTACCATTGTGTTTCTGAGATAAGATAGAATATCATGGGTGGTCCTTTTAATAAGCTAATACATTATATTTGCAAATCTTTTATAATTCAGGACTTTATATTCTGAATATAGACAGCTTGAAAACATTCCTTGCTGTATTATATTTTTCAAGCTTGAGCATCAGGATTAGTCTATCTTCTCAAAATGAACTGGATGATAAACTGTCTTTGATAATGCTCTGAAGTAGTTTATATAATATTGTGCTTATCTGCTTTTTGAAAGTTAAAAAATATGCAGCAGTAAAACTGCCTCAAAACAAAGATATTTTGGAAATAATTATGATCATTATTCTTTTTATATTTTCTACTTCTATTTGCTTCCATTCTATTCATTTACATTTTCCCAGAGCACTTTGTTTCATTGAGATTTTTTAGTTTTATTTATATACATGCTACTTGCACATACTTTAAAAGGGTCCTGTGTAGCAGCTATGACAGAATCTGCTGGGAGACTGCAAACATCTGTTTTTCCCTTCTCCCATGGTAACAGAACTGCAGCCAATTATTATAGGTTAAACGCACGCAATGCCAATTATATCAATAGCTATAAAATATGACCAAATGCTAGGACAAACCTGCTCCCTGAAATTTAAGGTTAAATTG